CTTAATGGTGCGGTATCACTTGAAGAATTATTATTCGAATGTGAAGATTTGAAGCTAATAGCTTTAGAAAGGTCACTTTTGATGGAATGAAGATCATAGTCCTGAGGAATTGATGCAGTATTGTACATCACATTCAATCTTTGAGAATTTTCAGAATTTGCCTCCATGTATTTTTATTGTAATGGTTCTTTATTTTTTTTTTATAAAAAAAAAAAAAAAAAAAAAATTGTAGATAGTGGAAAAAAACGTTTATATATGTAATTCGTGATCTGCACAAAATAATACAAATAAATATGCGTAACGTAATGATCGACCGTACATTTAACAAATATAGTAAGAAATATTTTTTATTAAGGTTCGCCTACTAATTTATAAGTAATGTCCAAATTTTCGTCAATCCAACCAGCATACATTAGTTGTACCCAAAGCATTGATAGAGCAAGAAAGGACCACATTGATATTAAATTAGCAATTCTTATCTGACAAGCTATTCTAACTTTAGAAGACATATAATCGTATGTTGCCGGACAATAAAATGGAATATAACCGATCTCATACCATGTATAATGTGTGTATAAGACTGTAAAGTGTGACACGTGTTTGGATTAACCCCCTTTTTTTTCTAAAAGAAAAAGAAAATAAAAAGAGAAAAAAAAAAAGAGAAAAAATTTCATTGATAATTTACCTGCAATGATTATCCACAGTAAAACTAACCACCTATTATATAAAATGAGATTAATAAAGGTACTTGATTTCAACTATTAACATGACAATGATAAATACATTAAAATTTTTTGTAATCCATATCTCGATATCGAAACATCAGAACAACATTTTGCTATGATAAGACCAATTAATAGGACTGAAAAAAAAATTCAAGGTCAGAAATAAAACCCATAAATCAATGGTTTATTTAAAATATCAATCTTACGTGGACCGAATAACGTCAGAATTAAATACCTGAATAATCAAAATGATTTTAAATTAATTTTGAGCGTCAATAATGAAAATCATTTAATTGTATGAACTTACGTAAACTCGAGAGCAAAGTACAAAGACAACTCATCGTTAGTTTGTGTAAAGAATATGATCTTGGTAATCTCTAGTAAAATTTTAAGAAAACATATACTGTACATCGATAATCTACGAAATGGCATGAAAGGATAAAAACAAAAGAAAAGATTGACCGACCTAGTGCAGGACATACGAATAGTAAAATAATTAATGGAATTCCTAGTAATATTCCCAAAAGAAATCTGCAAATTGTTAAAAACATGAGAAATATTTTATTCTCGAAATATCTGATTTTTATTTCTTTATAGTTTTCGGTTGTTTTCGATTAAAGAAAGTGATACGCGATGATAGAACTTAGTTCTTATTACGTGAAGGCTTAGACATTTGCATGCCTAAGCCAAAATGCCTGCGTGCTGCGCCTCAATATGGCTTCAGGTATAAAAATGTAAATGGGTTGATTATTCTAATCTTTACCTAAGAACGAACGAGTTCACGATTTGGATTTGCAGGAATGATTGCTTTCTCATATGAAGGTTGTGATATACATAATACCCCTGCATCTGAATTATCCATTTATCTTTTTGGAAATTTAAGGACGAAAAACTTTAATCTTTAAAAATGACAATAGTTAAGAAAGCAACTCTGTTGAGTTCGAAAATAAAAAGCGCAAGAATTCAATCAGATCGTTAATTAAATATTCTCTTTTCATTAAATTATTTTAAAATGTTGTGTGCCATATAAATAAATATATACACTTTGCGAATCTCCTATTATACTAGGGAACGGTTTCGGAAACCATTGTTAATTCCGGAGCACAAGTGTAACGAAAGGGACCAACCACATATCGGCGTAGACTCCGGATTAATAAACAATTCTACAAAGCGTTTTGGTCGATTTAGATGAGTTGGACATCAAGACCTCTGGAGTATGAAAATCATATGAACTATAGGATATTTATGCCTAGTCATTCCTACCATCAATAGTAACTTTATTTTAGCGATTCGATCTTATTATGTTAATTATTAAAGGTACAATTTTTTTAATTAATTTTGTATATCAATAACGATTTTACTAAAAATTTAAGCAGTAAATAAGAGAAATTGGGCGCGCTAATATAGAAAAAGTCGCCATCTCGACTTTCTTCATCACAGATATAGAACGTAGGCTGGCTTCGTTACGTTCTTCATGAATCATTTGGCGATTTATTATTAAAAAGTTCACCATTTCTACCGCTTTTTTAATACCCTGGTTTACTTTCGTAATTATATTATAATTCATTATATTAAGGTTTGGACTTGATCATTCATTTGAGTATTACAATGATTATTAGAGCGTTCGAAAAGCAATTTGGTTTGCAGACGTCATACGCAATTTGGTGATATAATAATCACATGCGCGTGCTATTATCTTTATATCTTGTGAATATCACACTTGTGGAATAACAAGATTATATTTGCTAATACAAAAAAAAAAAAAAAAAAAGCCTCGTTTTTTTTTTTTTCTTATTATCCGCCTCTTTACTTTTTACAGATTTCCAAAAGAATTAATAATTTCCTAAGTAAATTAATTTTTTTTGATTAAGGAATAATAAATAATTGAATGTATCTTTTTGAACATCAACGATATTCTCGTATCATATAAGGTCATACTTATCAATATAATCGGTTAGTAATTTTTGGGTGACATTAGTCAGGTGGGTTTGAGAAAATAATTTAAATAATTTAATCGACAACAAACTTGCCAAATTTGAAATTTATAGAATTTTTAATATTAAATTATCTTCATGTGAGAACATGTTGAGTATCAATTTTTTTTTTTTTTTTCAGCAAAAAAACTTTATCTTATAACAATTTCTTATGATAATGTTTTTCATATTTATTTTCTTCGTCTCTCTTATTTTGTGGAAATTATTATTTTATGATAAAGAGAATAAAATGTCGACTTTAGATAGAGTTGATAAACTTGCCAGATATATCCTTTTTTATTCTTTTGGAGTTTTCTGGAGTATTATCTGTGTAGGTATACCTATCATAATAGAAAAGTTCATTAAACGTAAAGA